TTAATGCCAAATACTTTGCAGGCTTGTAAACTTGCGGACATCAAACAAACGGGACATCCATTATACGATTCAATATCCATTTTTATTGAATGTCGATTACGTTAGGAATAGTCGACTGTAGCAAGAAACAAATATTTTTCAAAAAATATGAACGTTCTTCAAAATCGTTGTTTAGAGGCAAGTTCGCAATTAATCATCGGCTACAATTTAATATTAGTTTTTATTCAAGGTTTAGAAGATTATTTTATATTTAAACTGAATTATATGGTACAAAAGCTCAGAGGAATTTACCGCACTTTGTTAGGAAAATGTATGGGAAAAATATCGAACTTAACGTCGTATAAACCGCGGCAAGAATTTAAATTTACTCATTATTGAGTAAATTTAAATTCTTGCTGCGCTTATACTTAATAGTTTAATATCGGACCATATAACATTCCAAACATTATTGTTTGGAATGTTATATGGTCCGATATTAAACTAAGATAATGGAAATTTTTAATTTTTCTCCCTAAGAAATTCACCAATGGATATTTGATGCTTCGGCTATTTTTTTTTTTTTCTTTCTTTTTGAAGTCATCCTCATGGATTATAAAATATTTTCAATATTTTTCATGATGCTGTTACAAAATACGGTTTGTTTTCTTCAAGTTTCATATTACGGTATTAATTAAATACCAATTTCAAATATTTCATATCTTTTTCATAATATGACAAATAAAGATTTCATATCGAAATGCAAAAATAATTCGATCTGTTAAATATGACCTTTCTTCTATAATGAATGTGTGATATCCTCATTAATGTAAGGTTTATGTTATCTTATGAATTTAAACCTTCGAATGCACAGTTCTTTCTTTAAGTATTGGAATAAATTTGAAAGCAAAATATTAATTTATCTACTGTGACATCATTGAGAAGATCGATATTTTCATTTAAATATGCTCACCAGTGGCACTCGTAGTTGGTCATGGGTTCGCGCCTGATCAACGAGCACGAAGTGTTTTCCGGATATTTTTCATTTATCTGTTTGTTTGTTTGTTTTATTAAGTTGTCACAACGCAATATTTGGGCGATCTGCCTCGGGGATGCCTTCAGGGAGGTCTTAAGGGTAAATGGCCCTTATTCAGACGTGGAGAAAACCCGAAAACGCCACGTGGTCAGCCCGTCCTGGCAAGGCGGGAACCCACGACCTTGTTCAGGAAACGAAACCGCTTGACCACTGGTGGGCCCAATTTTCACTTATCTGACACCTAAATAAGGGTATTTTCCCGTAGAAAACCCTCCCCATGTATTACCAATCCGTCCTGAATGCTTATAATGGGACAAATTATAATTGTGGTAAAGATTTTTTTTAATACAGTACTCTTCCGTTTTAAAACGTTTGATTGGTATATCTTAACCGTAAAGATATTGAAACATCACAATTTTCCTAATCGTTATGCAAAGAATTGAATAAATATTATTTCATTCTATTATGCAATAGGCTTGCCCCTTTTATCCTCCTGAAACAATTTGTAGAAGGAAAGCCAAATCCTGTTTAAAATTATTTGTATTTTCATCTCCTGTATTGTGTTACATGGTTTTACCAAGGAAAGGGAACATTTCCGGAAGCTATTCAACAATATGTAGTTGGAGCGAGTGCACTGCTAAAGTTAACAAATTTAATTCAAGGCCAAACCTTTTATTTTGATAGATTGTTTCTTAGTTTTGGAGAGGAATACTTGTAAAGATATTACCTCCACTAAAACAATAAATGCAAATCACTTGTCAAAAGCAATAGTAAATAAATTATAACCGATAACGTACCGAAAAAATAGGAAAGAGGTTCTTCATTTTCTTTATTCAGAGAACACGACAAAATAAATATTCATTACTAAATGGCACGAATAATAAAATTGTTTTAATGATGAGTATTTAGTATTTATCAATCAGTTTTTCATTTTTTTATATCATCTTATAATTCGCCTTCACTCTGTATATACAAATGTCATTTTACATCAACAGTTTATAATAATTCAGAGTTCTTTGTGTCCAAAATTGTAGGCAGTTTACTAAGTGAACTGCCTAGAATGTTGGTTTTTTCGAAAATGTCAAATTATATATACGCACGAAAAAGACCACAAATTTAGAAAAGTTTAATTTTAAAAACAATTTAAAATATTCCTGTATTTAACAAACAAACAAAAACCACACAAAAATAATTAATAAAATTTAAATTGGAATTTTTCTTATGATAGGAATCCGAAACTCAATATACTGTGCTATCCATATCTATTGAAAACAGTTATGCAACGTATAATATGTTAAGGTAATAAGTGGTCAATTTTTCGAAAAAAACTACCGTTAATTAAAAAAACTTGACAGCTTCGCTTTATTTCGAATATTGAGTAATGCGCGCTCGTTTATACATTTTTATAATGAAATTTTCCCATTGACATAACATGGGAATGGCCTCTGACCCACGATCTGTCTTCTAGCACGACATGCCATTTTATTAATTCAATTAAATCTGCAAAATTTTGTTCGAATCGGTCGAGTCGATACTTGGAAAGACGTGTTTCGGGATCTGTCAACTTGAGGTGCTACCAAGCTTGCTCGCAGCACTTCAATTGAAATTATTTTTGTTTCGGATATTTTACCAACATTTTAAAAATTCTACTAAAATAAAAAAAATTATTTTACAATTATCGATTATGATACACTCAGATTTATTATTGGAATCTGTCTGCAAAAAAATGGTACAGATTGATAACTACAGTATTACAGTTGGTAGCATTGTTGATCATAGAAAGTGAAAAACAAATTTTTTAACACAATAAAAGCGTATTGCAAAACACTAGAACATAACAACATAGATAATAAATGAACTAAATACTTAAAGTATAAACGAAATAAAAACAAAACTAAAAAGAAATTAATTTCCTTGTCAAAACGTTCTCACTTTCTTTTGAAATATTAATTAAAACTAAGAAAATTAAATTAGTTACGTATTCTAGATACTTAGATTATCGCTTTTATTATCCAACTGGTTCCTGAAAAACCATAAAGCGAGCAATAGTAAATAAATTATCTGTTATGTTATATTAATCTTAAATGATGTTATAAACTTTTTTCCTGCAACTAAATTCCTGAGATTATCATAAACTTAGGCGACGTGCATTTATTGTGACCACTTACAGATTGAGGATGTTGATGAATGCTGACACGGAGAGGTCATCCCAATGTTTGAGTATTAAAAAAATAATTCATTTATTTTGGATTCTGTTGTTGACATTTATTGTATATATAATTGCGCAAATGGGGAGGGGGAGGCAATGGTGACGACGAATTGTATAAGGGGATGAGAGTAAAAAAAAATGAAGCAAAATCTGTCGCGCAATTACGTGCAGGCCACCTTAGATTCAAATTTGACAATAATAAAACAGATCATTCTGCATAAATTCTCTCTAGTTGTAGGAATAAAACTCATGTTAACATTTTTGGTCCATTCGTTTACTATCTTATTATGTATATTTATGACAGTTGTGTTCATGGAAATTATTAAAAGAATTTAATATTAGACATTTATAAATGTTTATTTGGCTTATATATCTTTAAATCATTTAACAGAATGAGTGTGGATGTGTGCCTCTCTTCCAAAATCTATATTAAGAAAGTTACACAAAGGAGATTCGTAAAAAAATTATATTCTGATAGAAAATTTTATAGGCATCATTTGTCCTATATGAAATTTTGATTCAAATTTGATAACCATTATAATACCTTTTTAAGTTCAAATTATTCCTTTCTACCACACCTATTTTGAGTTGACTTCTATTCCTCTGTTATTGTATCAAGTTTAATTCATTGCACTTAAAAGTTCAACTTCGTTTCTTCAGTTCAGTGGCGTAGCGTGGGTGTCAGCCGCCCGGGGCAAAGGAGAATTTCGCCGTCCCCTTATTTAGGTATCTCAATTTAAAATATTAAAATTCAGTTTCGTCGCACCATACGTAATGAAAAATTCTGTGCTAGTGTTGCCACCTTTTTAAAATCGCTGACCCGGACGGCAGGTGAGGTTTGTTCGAACAGAAATTCCTGACGCATGCGTATGTCATTTTGCAATGCGAAGAATAACGTGCAGTGCATGCCGGTTCTAAATCATTTACAGTTAGGGACTAGGGAGACTTGGGTAGGAGTAACGTAAGTAACCTAGATGACTTAGCTCTATTGGATATTGGAGATGTATATGAATACGAATGGTACATACTAGCAAAAAAAAGGGTCGACAGGTTGTGCACGATATCCCAGACTGTCCGGATGGTAACGCTATTCCATGCTAATTTCTATCGGTCTGAATCGTAGGTGCGACGAAAATATGTAATGAAATGGTTCAAATCTTTACAAGATATTATTATTTATTGTGAAATTTTGCCGCCCCACTACCCTATACCACTGCTTCAGTCTTCTGATATTACAGGATATTCTCTAAATAAAGGATGACATATTTTGGCTATTTTTTTATAACCTTTCATATTCTATTCTTTTTACCTGGCCAACTGCAGCAACAAAGCTCAAGTTGGATAAATAATAGAACTTGATACTCCATCTAATCTTTGAATTATCATCCAAGTATTTCAAGAAGTGTTAATAAGTAATATCCATGCTCTCCCATGCTGCTTAACCTGACAAGTGAGAAATAGCCATTGCAAGTGAGAAATAGCCATTGCAAAGTTAAATTTAAAACAGTATACTGTATACATAAGTTATTTACTTTATGAGAATTTCTATTTGTATTTGGTTTGGAATTATTTTAAAAATGCATTTGATTTTACCTTTTGTATTTAGTGATTGTATTGTTTAACATCAATACAGTCACTATAAAATTTTTATATATTATATATTTCATATAAAATGTTATTCTACTATATTATACTTGAAGTTAATATAAAATGCAGGTTTCAAAAAATATCATTTTGCAGTTGAAAACTTTTTATAATAAACAAAACATGAAAAAAAGAAACTCTACACAAGAATTTATTGACAAAGGAATGGTACAAAGAAATTTTAAATCAAAACGATACAGTCATTTTCACACTTAACATATGTAAAAACTGCATCATAATTTTTTTGTTTTGTTTTTTTTTTTGGACTTTTAATAAAGGTAAGCTAACAAGCACAAGTCACTTTGTAATAATTACAAGGCTAATCAAATTTTTTTTGCATACATTATGAATCTCCAGCATAAAACATTTCTAAGCATCCTTAAAGGCAGTGTTAGTATCAGTAGGCGATAAAAAAATTTCAGTATTATCACACCATTACCATAAACCATCTACTAGACAGACCATTTACCTGAATGTACAACCGTTAAGACTTTTTCTTTTGTGGATATTGTTAAATTGGCAATTTTTGTTTTTTTTTTAATATATGTATAATATATACTTGTATGAATTTAATTAAGTATGCAAAGTAGCAAAATTTGGCATTATTGGCATACTTAGTGACACCACCATCATCATTCAAATAAAATTTTATAATCACTTAATCAATCAATAATCAATATGCTAATCAATATTTAGTGCCCAATAGGTCATCGGGCAATTTTAGACAGATAAAAATATTACAGTTACTGTACTTGTCAACTGTGCCAAATAAAGTGGAATTTATGTATGTATGTATATATATATATAGGTATGTATATAGATACATAGACAGACAGTACAAAGGCTCCTCAATAACCAGTAAGTTCAGCAAAAGTCTGGTCCATTTCATCAGAGATGGTCTTGTATTTTTCTTTTTCCTGAACAAGGTCATCTGTAAATATAATAATATATTGTAAACTTCAAACACCCAAATTAAATAACGGTGAAAAATATATTAAGTGGGTTGGTAAATTAGTGAATATCTACTATACATTCCATTTCATACATTCAAATTAGATAAATTAATTGAGTTATTTAAATTTAATAGCATTTGGCCATGACATACATAGTAATTTTCAAGCCATAATGTTCTGCATAACTAACATTTATTAATAATAATAACAAAATTACTATCATGCAAATACTATTAAAATGAACATTTTATTTTTAATATATTAACATTACACATTAACTAAAATCTCTTATTCTCATGCAAAAACAGTTTTCTAAAATGTTATTGTTTTAAACTATAACTTCAAATGGGGATAATTAAATTAATCATTACAGAGACTTTACAATTATGTGTAATGGAATTAATTAATTAGTATGTTAGAAATAACATGCAGCAAACCTTCTACAAGGATCATCACACATAACATATAGGCAAGATGAGGTCACATGGACTGAATATCCTTCAAAGTAGTTTCCACCTCCTCCTGTAGAAGGTGGTTCTTTTCTCGTTCAGCAAGCAAATCATCTGCAATGTATACAGCAGGCAACTCAATTTGTAGATATTATTGTTTTATTAAAATTACAACAGGAGGAAAATTTATGACATACATTAACAATATCAATATCAGCCAGTTACAATTAACCAAATACAAATTAATATTACCAGGTTATTTTTGCAAAAAGTATATACTTTTTGCAAAATAACCTAATTGATAATAACACATTGATAATTATAGCAATTATTAATTTATATTTGGAAAATCTGTACCAGTGGTTGTCAACCTAATTAACTACTTGAAGAATTTTCAGATTTAATTTTCTCAAGGTTTGGTTTCTAATTTCATAACCAACATAATGCCATGTTAATGTGTGGAACCTCTTTCAAATATTCATTATAAGTTACTTAATTAAATGATTTCTTTTAATTGTAAAGTAGGTTGCCAACCACCGGTTTTGTAAGAAAGCATCCTACATAATAACTCTGTGTTACTATTTTTTAAATAAATAATTGTGAAAATGTTATTTTAAATTCTATTTTCTGTATTCATTATCATAGTTAATATAAATTATAAAAAATTTACATAAGATCATAAAATTTTAGAGCAATTATGCAATTTGAAAGAAAGTTTAAGAAATATAATATAGTGGTTAATAAGTTAATCAGAAGTAAAGAATAGTATATAGTAATTAATAAGAACCAACATTTAAAAGTAGATTTTAAAGTGTCTTTTGTTGTTTGCAGAATATTAAATATATTTTGTTACTTAATAAAATAAATGACTTTACTGCATGCCTATAAAGAATTAAGGTACATTAGTTATATAACAGTACTAATTATAAATCACAGCTCTAGATGTATCAAGTCTGGCAACTCTTTAATCAGTTCTCAATTTTCATTTCTTAGGTGTATGACAAATAAAGAAAGGAAATTTTGAAAAAATATGCCATTTACAAAAGGTACCCATTTTACTTTGCATGGCAAATATATGCCATATTACTTCAGTTACCATAGGATATGCAGTAACTCAAGTAGTATTGGCAATCGACCTATGAGCCCAAGTGTTACACTGAGACAGGCTCCCTTCCTGGAGAAAGGGGTCCCACTGAATGTTTTCTTAGGTGAAGTCCCGAGTGGATGTTCAGTTGCTTGGACGTGTCGAGGTTTGCAACCCTGTTGTCTTAAATGACAATGCATAAGGTAACTTATCGTCAGTAAGAGACCTATGTGCAGGACAAACTGCACCAAAATGTATGTCCCGATTTCGGCCAGAGCCTAGCTTCCCCCAGGTTTGGCATAAAAGAGTCCAAGACACCTAGTTGTAGCAGGGTGTCCGACCACTTCCTATGATTCAGACATAGTCTCTATCATACCCAGTAGTGCCATTTGGCGGAGCAGGGACAACCTACAGTTGTGTGTATGAGGGAGTATTGGCAGATGTAAACTATGTTGTTTTATTTCATTTTATATAATCAAATTTTTTGCCTTATAGAACTTGAAATACTTGTGTTAAATTGTACACAGTTGAAACTAACACAGTTTCGGGTTTTGCAATTTTAAACATATGTTCAATATTTCTTGAATTTTCATTTCAAGTTAAATTTTAAATACTAATAGTTAAATTCATTAAAGAAATATTGAATCAGTTACATTAAGCATTAATTTACCATTATATTGTGCAATATAACTTACAAACATTATAATTTCACAGAATTATCATACATTATTAAAATCAGCAATATTAAAATTTTTCTTATGAGAATAACTTTATTTTATGGTAAATGTATCCACAGAATGAAATTAATGCAAGTACTTTCAGTAAATTGAGCTCAATTACTATATAACTATTATAATAGAAGGAAGAAAACAGGAAGGAGCATAGAGAGAGATTTTTTTATAAATTTGTAAAAATTTTAATGTTTTATTAAATAAAAAACATAATAAATGTCAAAAAACTATTTCTATTAATCTTATTTTCTTAAATATTATCTTAATAACAACTATTTAGTAATATAAACTAAAATAGATTAATTAATCTGATTATACACTTTTTCTTACCTGTATATAGCATTTGTTAAAAAATAACTTCTCCAACTCAGAGGGCTCTAGAGCCATGTTCTACTGCTTGAAATGAAACATTTGGACAATAGGTACTTCAGATGCTGCAATTGCCATTTATTAAATAAAAAAATAAATGGCAATTGCAATACTTTTCTTGTACAAAAAGTCACCAATAGATGGCACTGGAGCTATGAAATTGTGGTCTGAATCTGTTCCATCACCATATTACAGTATCTTAACACATTAAGCTCTGGGATCACAAATGTTGTCAAACATGGGTAGTGCACCATTTTGCGTGAATATAGTAATATCCACGAAAGATTGTGCACCACCCACATCGCTAGCTCTCTTCAACATATGTTAAGGTGGACTTTCACAGATGAACAGTGGATCAGCCATTACTTCCCAACAGCTTAGCTCCTCCTTGCTCACTTGATCTCACCACATGTGACTTCTGGTTACAAGATTTCTTGATGGACCAGGTTTATCATGAAAGATGTGCATCTGTGGACAGTTACAGCATTTTTTGCATGTTCTCTTGATTAAAACAAACTCGCTGCATTCAGCAATAGAAAACATGCTTTTGTGAATAGAGATCATTGTTGAAAACAATGGAGAACATATTGAACATTTATAATTATGATTTGCATAGCTCTAGCACCATCTATTGGTGACATTTTGTACAAAAAATTTTTATTTAACAAATGGTGAATGCATCATCTGAAGTACCTGTTGTCCAAATGTTGTTTCATTTTGAGCAGTAAAACATGCCCTAGTGCCACCTGATCTGGAGAAGTTATTTTTTAACAATCTGTTTACCTTCTGTTACAGTTGTGATTAGATAGGAATTGATGGGAGTGGGAGATAGGAAAAATGAAAAACTAACTTCAAATATATATTTTTATATATATAGTAAATAAAATGTTTTTTTTAACAAATATTGTATGATGTTGGCAATATCGATCAGGAACAGGTTTAAGTTGCCAATAATAGGAAATATAATGTCTAAAAGTCAGTTTGCCAAAAGAAAATTAATATAATTTTGATTGTATAGTACAATGAATAACATAAAGAAAAAACATGTTTCACAAATAACAGGAGAATGTCAATGTTTATTGTAACTATAACTCAAGAACATGTATTATTTATAATGTAGAAATCTCAGTTATCCAGTTTTACAACTATTGTTATGTTTTTATATATATATATAAGTTAAATATTAAACTGATTTATTAAAATGAAACTACTGTTTAGTAATTCTAGTAATATCAGTTTTGTATATTACAATCAAAATTAATATCAAAAACTGTTAATGTTGAAATCAATCAGGATGACTTGTCATCTTATTATAACATACACTTATTATTTTATTCACTTTTATTAGCAAAATTAAAACAAAATCACCTATCAATATATCAAATTTATATTAATAACAACATTCTACTTTGTTCATAATTTTAATATGTTTAATAGCTTATTAAATTTCTCTTAAAATCTTATCAAAATAGGTTTTAAATGTTTTATAAACAAAAGCATTAAGTATAAATATAAATTACATGCAAAAATTTGTTATTAAAATAATACATTGTACTTTTTGCCTTCTTGACCACTTACCTTCAAGTCTATCAACTTCTTTTTGAAGTTTCTGTACCGATCTTTCAGCAAATTCAGCCCTTGCTTCAGCCTAATAAATTCAAAACAAATTTAAAATAATAAAATAAACCTAAATAATATAAAATGTTCAAAATGATTTTCAAAAACTATGTAACTTACTGGCATAGAAAAGATAAAAATCAATTCTGAAATAAGATATGTAGAAATATTTTTAGCCTAACTAATCTTAGATATTCTAATATTTTATCTGGCAAAATTACAATGCAGATGTCCAACAGATGTTAATTTCCTTACATACACAATTAACAATATTAAAATTATAAAAAATTTCATTTTCTGCCATTATAGAATGTAATACTCCTTTTCAAATATTTCTTTGCTAAATTATAAAACATTTACTATACTTAACAGAGAACTCAGATTCAAATAATGAAGTAAAACATTTCTTCAAACAACTTCTAATTCTTCATGTTCAATTCTCTGTATACTCAAGTGTATGCTAATCTGTAGTCTGGTTATCTTTATTTTATTTATTATTATTATTTTTTAAAGTAAAAATAAAAATTACTTTTAACTGGTTATATGAAATATTTAGATGGTTGATCAACCAACTAAACTGGCTTGGGGAGGACACTAATATATAACCATTCAATTGCTTTTGTTAGACATTCAAACGTACTGAAGATGAGGAACTGTAACTTCAAAGATTTTTTCTTTGTAATAAATTTTTAAACTTATGTTATTGTAAACTGTACAATTTCTTTTAATTTTTATAATTTTTCTTCCAAATATTAGCAGTAAATTTTTAGATTACATTTAACTGAACTTAATAAAAAGAAATAATAATTATCTATATAAACAGGTAAAAATTAATTCAAGAATATCATCTTAATTACAACAAATCTTGCAATAACAATTTTACAAGGTATGTTGCTATTGTACAAGATGAGATTTTATGAAATAATATTTAATCTTGTATTATATTGTTGATTTTGAATATTTAAACGATTTTAATTCAGGAAATATTTTAATACATATTTATCAAGTAAAAATTAATTCTTTTGTATGCTAAATTATCCTTTAATGTAAGTTTCTCTACAGGAACACTGGAAAAAAGTTTGTGAAATAGCTTTTGTTTCAAGTTTATATAGCTATTAGACATTACAAATTTATAAGTGCCTACAGTTATATTAACTAATTCTAAAAAGTTTATTCTAAATGGAAAATATTTATACAAAAATAACAGTGCAACTCATGAATTAATGAAAAATATTATAATAATTAAAATATTACTTTCAATGAATTATAAAAGTATATTTTCCATTAATTCTTGATTAATCTGTTTAGATTTAACTTTTTTTTTTTTTTTAGATTAAGAATTTTGCTCACAATTTCAATTATAAAATTTTATGAATTTAACTAATAATAATTGACATTATGACATCAAATTAAAAATTTATTTTATTAATTTAATTTGCTGGTCAACAGAAGTGTTTTGTAGAATATATCAATTGCTAAATCATCATTAAAACTCTAATGACAAACACAACATAATATATCATAATATGTTCTGATATAATTGAATATATATATAAAGTATATATTTTTTCACAGTTTAAGTGAAGTCAAGTGATATTCTAATTAAGCTGCACTGTATTTTTGAAAAGAATTAAATTTAATAATTGAAAACATTAGATACAAAAACTTTTTCTTTCTTAACCAATACTTCATACCTCCTGGAGTCTGTGTGTCAACTGACGAATCGTTGTTTCGTATGAATCTTCTTTTTGCAGTGCCTAAATAGTGATAATAAAATTTTTAGAAAATATATTGTATCTCACCTCTTTTAGTTTGGCAGTCACGGATCTGATTTGTGTTTCAAAGCCTTCTTCCCTTTGATGAGCCTGAATAGATAAAGAGCAGAGCCAACCCAATTAGGTAGGCAAAGAAGAAAAAGTAAAGGAAAAAAAGCATGGATTTAAAAGAACAAAAAGAAAATTCTTAAAATATGAAAATGAATGCATTGGCAAAGAGATCATTTGTCTAAAACAAAAGACAAGTAAACAAACAGAAATAAGGCAAAATCTGCAATATTACTAAAACAAAATTTAACTATGTTAAAAATGTGATCTCAAATTATAGCCAAATGCTTTAAAATTAACAAAACAGAAACCTTCCATGCATTTAAGGTAAAGCCTTTCCTTCTAGGAACTTATTAAAGAATTATGAAAGCAAAGGTGTGAAATAAAGGAAAGGAATATGACTGCCAAATTAACTTAATAAATAATTCATGCATATTTTATAAATCATAATATACAGTCAATTCCCATTTAGTCATGATGATAAATCACTAGAGAATAGCTTTAATCAAAAATTTACACTTTAAAATCTGTTTTTAAGCTTAAAACAAATGTTTTGTTAAATTTCAAATACCAAATCAACTTTTAACTGTAGCCAAGAAAGTAATAATTAAAGATAACTGTAAATTATGGGAATCAGCTATATATCAATTTTATTATAATTAATTTTCCTTATAGCAATTTCTAATTAACAATTAATAATTATTCTGCTATATATAAATAATACAAATTGTTCATAGTTAAATCATATTAGAACTATATTAATTTAGTCAATTAAATTTCAAAATATTCAAAAATACTACATAATAAATGTTGGGTTAAAATCAAAACCCCAACCACATTTCATTTTCTAAAAATGATAGCAATTCAGACTTGTATGCTTTGCAAATCTTGTAATGTTGCTAATAAATATTAAAAATTTATGCAAATAAAAAAATTCATGCTCAAAATTTTAGCAAAATAATAAAAGACAAAATTACATTGCAAAAAAGCATGCAAAAATACAAAATGCAAATTTATGGACAAATTTTTATACTTCTCCATATTTATATATAAATAATTTCCTTTACCTTTTCTTCACTCACTTCCAAGGATTTCAAATTATTGCCAACTACACGAAGTTCCTCTTCAAGCTCTACAATTTTGCTACAGTAAAAATAATTTACTTATTTATTCAATAATAAATTTTAATACTGGCTAATGAAAAATAATGAAGTTTTATGAAATTCTCAATAATTTTTGAATTATTAACTATGAAAGTACAGTAGGACAAAGCAATCATGCAAAACTTATTTTACAGAAATGTGATGTAATATTTTTAAGAAAGATTAAATTATAAAAAGAACTACTACAAAAGAAATGATTAAAACACACATTGATGATTATATTTTATACCTGAAGCAATATTAAACTGAATAATAATTTAATGTGCATTTTATGTAAGAGAAAAAATCTTAAATCTAAACTATAGGCTTTTTGAGCTACATTTACACTAATTTTTTAATTAATGAAATGAAATTTGGCCTATATGTAAGTAGTTGGGCCACTATATTGTGGTAACCTTAATCAGAAATTTATCTTGAATTTAATTAAATTATTTTTAAAAATTCTGGAAAACAAATCAACCAAGAGCAGGACTCAGACATGAAACATCTGTTTACACTGTACAGATGCATTATTGTCATCTAATTAAACATTTAACATAAATGTAGTCTGAAAATTAGCAGTTTAGATTTAGATTAATTAATCCAGTCTTTTTTCTTTTTCTATTTGTATTTTTATTAAAATAATATTGTTAAAAAAATAACATAATTTGACTTCTACATAAATGAAACTAAGNGTTTGTTTGTTTGTTTTATTAAGTTGTCACAACGCAATATTTGGGCGATCTGCCTCGGGGATGCCTTCAGGGAGGTCTTAAGGGTAAATGGCCCTTATTCAGACGTGGAGAAAACCCGAAAACGCCACGTGGTCAGCCCGTCCTGGCAAGGCGGGAACCCACGACCTTGTTCAGGAAACGAAACCGCTTGACCACTGGTGGGCCCAATTTTCACTTATCTGACACCTAAATAAGGGTATTTTCCCGTAGAAAACCCTCCCCATGTATTACCAATCCGTCCTGAATGCTTATAATGGGACAAATTATAATTGTGGTAAAGATTTTTTTTTAATACAGTACTCTTCCGTTTTAAAACGTTTGATATAATGGTATATCTTAACCGTAAAGATATTGAAACATCACAATTTTCCTAATCGTTATGCAAAGAATTGAATAAATATTATTTCATTCTATTATGCAATAGGCTTGCCCCTTTTATCCTCCTGAAACAATTTGTAGAAGGAAAGCCAAATCCTGTTTAAAATTATTTGTATTTTCATCTCCTGTATTGTGTTACATGGTTTTACCAAGGAAAGGGAACATTTCCGGAAGCTATTCAACAATATGTAGTTGGAGCGAGTGCACTGCTAAAGTTAACAAATTTAATTCAAGGCCAAACCTTTTATTTTGATAGATTGTTTCTTAGTTTTGGAGAGGAATACTTGTAAAGATATTACCTCCACTAAAACAATAAATGCAAATCACTTGTCAAAAGCAATAGTAAATAAATTATAACCGATAACGTACCGAAAAAATAGGAAAGAGGTTCTTCATTTTCTTTATTCAGAGAACACGACAAAATAAATATTCATTACTAAATGGCACGAATAATAAAATTGTTTTAATGATGAGTATTTAGTATTTATCAATCAGTTTTTCATTTTTTTATATCATCTTATAATTCGCCTTCACTCTGTATATACAAATGTCATTTTACATCAACAGTTTATAATAATTCAGAGTTCTTTGTGTCCAAAATTGTAGGCAGTTTACTAAGTGAACTGCCTAGAATGTTGGTTTTTTCGAAAATGTCAAATTATATATACGCACGAAAAAGACCACAAATTTAGAAAAGTTTAATTTTAAAAACAATTTAAAATATTCCTGTATTTAACAAACAAACAAAAACCACACAAAAATAATTAATAAAATTTAAATTGGAATTTTTCTTATGATAGGAATCCGAAACTCAATATACTGTGCTATCCATATCTATTGAAAACAGTTATGCAACGTATAATATGTTAAGGTAATAAGTGGTCAATTTTTCGAAAAAAACTACCGTTAATTAAAAAAACTTGACAGCTTCGCTTTATTTCGAATATTGAGTAATGCGCGCTCGTTTATACATTTTTATAATGAAATTTTCCCATTGACATAACATGGGAATGGCCTCTGACCCACGATCTGTCTTCTAGCACGACATGCCATTTTATTAATTCAATTAAATCTGCAAAATTTTGTTCGAATCGGTCGAGTCGATACTTGGAAAGACGTGTTTCGGGATCTGTCAACTTGAGGTGCTACCAAGCTTGCTCGCAGCACTTCAATTGAAATTATTTTTGTTTCGGATATTTTACCAACATTTTAAAAATTCTACTAAAATAAAAAAAATTATTTTACAATTATCGATTATGATACACTCAGATTTATTATTGGAATCTGTCTGCAAAAAAATGGTACAGATTGATAACTACAGTATTACAGTTGGTAGCATTGTTGATCATAGAAAGTGAAAAACAAATTTTTTAACACAATAAAAGCGTATTGCAAAACACTAGAACATAACAACATAGATAATAAATGAACTAAATACTTAAAGTATAAACGAAATAAAAACAAAACTAAAAAGAAATTAATTTCCTTGTCAAAACGTTCTCACTTTCTTTTGAAATATTAATTAAAACTAAGAAAATTAAATTAGTTACGTATTCTAGATACTTAGATTATCGCTTTTATTATCCAACTGGTTCCTGAAAAACCATAAAGCGAGCAATAGTAAATAAATTATCTGTTATGTTATATTAATCTTAAATGATGTTATAAACTTTTTTCCTGCAACTAAATTCCTGAGATTATCATAAACTTAGGTGACGTGCATTTATTGTGACCACTTACAGATTGAGGATGTTGATGAATGCTGACACGGAGAGGTCATCCCAATGTTTGAGTATTAAAAAAATAATTCATTTATTTTGGATTCTGTTGTTGACATTTATTGTATATATAATTGCGCAAATGGGGAGGGGGAGGCAATGGTGACGACGAATTGTATAAGGGGATGAGAGTAAAAAAAAATGAAGCAAAATCTGTCGCGCAATTACGTGCAGGCCACCTTAGATTCAAATTTGACAATAATAAAACAGATCATTCTGCATAAATTCTCTCTAGTTGTAGGAATAAAACTCATGTTAACATTTTTGGTCCATTCGTTTACTATCTTATTATGTATATTTATGACAGTTGTGTTCATGGAAATTATTAAAAGAATTTAATATTAGACATTTATAAATGTTTATTTGGCTTATATATCTTTAAATCATTTAACAGAATGAGTGTGGATGTGTGCCTCTCTTCCAAAATCTATATTAAGAAAGTTACACAAAGGAGATTCGTAAAAAAATTATATTCTGATAGAAAATTTTATAGGCATCATTTGTCCTATATGAAATTTTGATTCAAATTTGATAACCATTATAATACCTTTTTAAGTTCAAATTATTCCTTTCTACCACACCTATTTTGAGTTGACTTCTATTCCTCTGTTATTGTATCAAGTTTAATTCATTGCACTTAAAAGTTCAACTTCGTTTCTTCAGTTCAGTGGCGTAGCGTGGGTGTCAGCCGCCCGGGGCAAAGGAGAATTTCGCCGTCCCCTTATTTAGGTATCTCAATTTAAAATATTAAAATTCAGTTTCGTCGCACCATACGTAATGAAAAATTCTGTGCTAGTGTTGCCACCTTTTTAAAATCGCTGACCCGGACGGCAGGTGAGGTTTGTTCGAACAGAAATTCCTGACGCATGCGTATGTCATTTTGCAATGCGAAGAATAACGTGCAGTGCATGCCGGTTCTAAATCATTTACAGTTAGGGACTAGGGAGACTTGGGTAGGAGTAACGTAAGTAACCTAGATGACTTAGCTCTATTGGATATTGGAGATGTATATGAATACGAATGGTACATACTAGCAAAAAAAAGGGTCGACAGGTTGTGCACGATATCCCAGACTGTCCGGATGGTAACGCTATTCCATGCTAATTTCTATCGGTCTGAATCGTAGGTGCGACGAAAATATGTAATGAAATGGTTCAAATCTTTACAAGATATTATTATTTATTGTGAAATTTTGCCGCCCCACTACCCTATACCACTGCTTCAGTCTTCTGATATTACAGGATATTCTCTAAATAAAGGATGACATATTTTGGCTATTTTTTTATAACCTTTCATATTCTATTCTTTTTACCTGGCCAACTGCAGCAACAAAGCTCAAGTTGGATAAATAATAGAACTTGATACTCCATCTAATCTTTGAATTATCATCCAAGTATTTCAAGAAGTGTTAATAAGTAATATCCATGCTCTCCCATGCTGCTTAACCTGACAAGTGAGAAATAGCCATTGCAAGTGAGAAATAGCCATTGCAAAGTTAAATTTAAAACAGTATACTGTATACATAAGTTATTTACTTTATGAGAATTTCTATTTGTATTTGGTTTGGAATTATTTTAAAAATGCATTTGATTTTACCTTTTGTATTTAGTGATTGTATTGTTTAACATCAATACAGTCACTATAAAATTTTTATATATTATATATTTCATATAAAATGTTATTCTACTATATTATACTTGAAGTTAATATAAAATGCAGGTTTCAAAAAATATCATTTTGCAGTTGAAAACTTTTTATAATAAACAAAACATGAAAAAAAGAAACTCTACACAAGAATTTATTGACAAAGGAATGGTACAAAGAAATTTTAAATCAAAACGATACAGTCATTTTCACACTTAACATATGTAAAAACTGCATCATAATTTTTTTGTTTTGTTTTTTTTTTGGACTTTTAATAAAGGTAAGCTAACAAGCACAAGTCACTTTGTAATAATTACAAGGCTAATCAAATTTTTTTTGCATACATTATGAATCTCCAGCATAAAACATTTCTAAGCATCCTTAAAGGCAGTGTTAGTATCAGTAGGCGATAAAAAAATTTCAGTATTATCACACCATTACCATAAACCATCTACTAGACAGACCATTTACCTGAATGTACAACCGTTAAGACTTTTTCTTTTGTGGATATTGTTAAATTGGCAATTTTTGTTTTTTTTTTAATATATGTATAATATATACTTGTATGAATTTAATTAAGTATGCAAAGTAGCAAAATTTGGCATTATTGGCATACTTAGTGACACCACCATCATCATTCAAATAAAATTTTATAATCACTTAATCAATCAATAATCAATATGCTAATCAATATTTAGTGCCCAATAGGTCATCGGGCAATTTTAGACAGATAAAAATATTACAGTTACTGTACTTGTCAACTGTGCCAAATAAAGTGGAATTTATGTATGTATGTATATATATATATAGGTATGTATATAGATACATAGACAGACAGTACAAAGGCTCCTCAATAACCAGTAAGTTCAGCAAAAGTCTGGTCCATTTCATCAGAGATGGTCTTGTATTTTTCTTTTTCCTGAACAAGGTCATCTGTAAATATAATAATATATTGTAAACTTCAAACACCCAAATTAAATAACGGTGAAAAATATATTAAGTGGGTTGGTAAATTAGTGAATATCTACTATACATTCCATTTCATACATTCAAATTAGATAAATTAATTGAGTTATTTAAATTTAATAGCATTTGGCCATGACATACATAGTAATTTTCAAGCCATAATGTTCTGCATAACTAACATTTATTAATAATAATAACAAAATTACTATCATGCAAATACTATTAAAATGAACATTTTATTTTTAATATATTAACATTACACATTAACTAAAATCTCTTATTCTCATGCAAAAACAGTTTTCTAAAATGTTATTGTTTTAAACTATAACTTCAAATGGGGATAATTAAATTAATCATTACAGAGACTTTACAATTATGTGTAATGGAATTAATTAATTAGTATGTTAGAAATAACATGCAGCAAACCTTCTACAAGGATCATCACACATAACATATAGGCAAGATGAGGTCACATGGACTGAATATCCTTCAAAGTAGTTTCCACCTCCTCCTGTAGAAGGTGGTTCTTTTCTCGTTCAGCAAGCAAATCATCTGCAATGTATACAGCAGGCAACTCAATTTGTAGATATTATTGTTTTATTAAAATTACAACAGGAGGAAAATTTATGACATACATTAACAATATCAATATCAGCCAGTTACAATTAACCAAATACAAATTAATATTACCAGGTTATTTTTGCAAAAAGTATATACTTTTTGCAAAATAACCTAATTGATAATAACACATTGATAATTATAGCAATTATTAATTTATATTTGGAAAATCTGTACCAGTGGTTGTCAACCTAATTAACTACTTGAAGAATTTTCAGATTTAATTTTCTCAAGGTTTGGTTTCTAATTTCATAACCAACATAATGCCATGTTAATGTGTGGAACCTCTTTCAAATATTCATTATAAGTTACTTAATTAAATGATTTCTTTTAATTGTAAAGTAGGTTGCCAACCACCGGTTTTGTAAGAAAGCATCCTACATAATAACTCTGTGTTACTATTTTTTAAATAAATAATTGTGAAAATGTTATTTTAAATTCTATTTTCTGTATTCATTATCATAGTTAATATAAATTATAAAAAATTTACATAAGATCATAAAATTTTAGAGCAATTATGCAATTTGAAAGAAAGTTTAAGAAATATAATATAGTGGTTAATAAGTTAATCAGAAGTAAAGAATAGTATATAGTAATTAATAAGAACCAACATTTAAAAGTAGATTTTAAAGTGTCTTTTGTTGTTTGCAGAATATTAAATATATTTTGTTACTTAATAAAATAAATGACTTTACTGCATGCCTATAAAGAATTAAGGTACATTAGTTATATAACAGTACTAATTATAAATCACAGCTCTAGATGTATCAAGTCTGGCAACTCTTTAATCAGTTCTCAATTTTCATTTCTTAGGTGTATGACAAATAAAGAAAGGAAATTTTGAAAAAATATGCCATTTACAAAAGGTACCCATTTTACTTTGCATGGCAAATATATGCCATATTACTTCAGTTACCATAGGATATGCAGTAACTCAAGTAGTATTGGCAATCGACCTATGAGCCCAAGTGTTACACTGAGACAGGCTCCCTTCCTGGAGAAAGGGGTCCCACTGAATGTTTTCTTAGGTGAAGTCCCGAGTGGATGTTCAGTTGCTTGGACGTGTCGAGGTTTGCAACCCTGTTGTCTTAAATGACAATGCATAAGGTAACTTATCGTCAGTAAGAGACCTATGTGCAGGACAAACTGCACCAAAATGTATGTCCCGATTTCGGCCAGAGCCTAGCTTCCCCCAGGTTTGGCATAAAAGAGTCCAAGACACCTAGTTGTAGCAGGGTGTCCGACCACTTCCTATGATTCAGACATAGTCTCTATCATACCCAGTAGTGCCATTTGGCGGAGCAGGGACAACCTACAGTTGTGTGTATGAGGGAGTATTGGCAGATGTAAACTATGTTGTTTTATTTCATTTTATATAATCAAATTTTTTGCCTTATAGAACTTGAAATACTTGTGTTAAATTGTACACAGTTGAAACTAACACAGTTTCGGGTTTTGCAATTTTAAACATATGTTCAATATTTCTTGAATTTTCATTTCAAGTTAAATTTTAAATACTAATAGTTAAATTCATTAAAGAAATATTGAATCAGTTACATTAAGCATTAATTTACCATTATATTGTGCAATATAACTTACAAACATTATAATTTCACAGAATTATCATACATTATTAAAATCAGCAATATTAAAATTTTTCTTATGAGAATAACTTTATTTTATGGTAAATGTATCCACAGAATGAAATTAATGCAAGTACTTTCAGTAAATTGAGCTCAATTACTATATAACTATTATAATAGAAGGAAGAAAACAGGAAGGAGCATAGAGAGAGATTTTTTTATAAATTTGTAAAAATTTTAATGTTTTATTAAATAAAAAACATAATAAATGTCAAAAAACTATTTCTATTAATCTTATTTTCTTAAATATTATCTTAATAACAACTATTTAGTAATATAAACTAAAATAGATTAATTAATCTGATTATACACTTTTTCTTACCTGTATATAGCATTTGTTAAAAAATAACTTCTCCAACTCAGAGGGCTCTAGAGCCATGTTCTACTGCTTGAAATGAAACATTTGGACAATAGGTACTTCAGATGCTGCAATTGCCATTTATTAAATAAAAAAATAAATGGCAATTGCAATACTTTTCTTGTACAAAAAGTCACCAATAGATGGCACTGGAGCTATGAAATTGTGGTCTGAATCTGTTCCATCACCATATTACAGTATCTTAACACATTAAGCTCTGGGATCACAAATGTTGTCAAACATGGGTAGTGCACCATTTTGCGTGAATATAGTAATATCCACGAAAGATTGTGCACCACCCACATCGCTAGCTCTCTTCAACATATGTTAAGGTGGACTTTCACAGATGAACAGTGGATCAGCCATTACTTCCCAACAGCTTAGCTCCTCCTTGCTCACTTGATCTCACCACATGTGACTTCTGGTTACAAGATTTCTTGATGGACCAGGTTTATCATGAAAGATGTGCATCTGTGGACAGTTACAGCATTTTTTGCATGTTCTCTTGATTAAAACAAACTCGCTGCATTCAGCAATAGAAAACATGCTTTTGTGAATAGAGATCATTGTTGAAAACAATGGAGAACATATTGAACATTTATAATTATGATTTGCATAGCTCTAGCACCATCTATTGGTGACATTTTGTACAAAAAATTTTTATTTAACAAATGGTGAATGCATCATCTGAAGTACCTGTTGTCCAAATGTTGTTTCATTTTGAGCAGTAAAACATGCCCTAGTGCCACCTGATCTGGAGAAGTTATTTTTTAACAATCTGTTTACCTTCTGTTACAGTTGTGATTAGATAGGAATTGATGGGAGTGGGAGATAGGAAAAATGAAAAACTAACTTCAAATATATATTTTTATATATATAGTAAATAAAATGTTTTTTTTAACAAATATTGTATGATGTTGGCAATATCGATCAGGAACAGGTTTAAGTTGCCAATAATAGGAAATATAATGTCTAAAAGTCAGTTTGCCAAAAGAAAATTAATATAATTTTGATTGTATAGTACAATGAATAACATAAAGAAAAAACATGTTTCACAAATAACAGGAGAATGTCAATGTTTATTGTAACTATAACTCAAGAACATGTATTATTTATAATGTAGAAATCTCAGTTATCCAGTTTTACAACTATTGTTATGTTTTTATATATATATATAAGTTAAATATTAAACTGATTTATTAAAATGAAACTACTGTTTAGTAATTCTAGTAATATCAGTTTTGTATATTACAATCAAAATTAATATCAAAAACTGTTAATGTTGAAATCAATCAGGATGACTTGTCATCTTATTATAACATACACTTATTATTTTATTCACTTTTATTAGCAAAATTAAAACAAAATCACCTATCAATATATCAAATTTATATTAATAACAACATTCTACTTTGTTCATAATTTTAATATGTTTAATAGCTTATTAAATTTCTCTTAAAATCTTATCAAAATAGGTTTTAAATGTTTTATAAACAAAAGCATTAAGTATAAATATAAATTACATGCAAAAATTTGTTATTAAAATAATACATTGTACTTTTTGCCTTCTTGACCACTTACCTTCAAGTCTATCAACTTCTTTTTGAAGTTTCTGTACCGATCTTTCAGCAAATTCAGCCCTTGCTTCAGCCTAATAAATTCAAAACAAATTTAAAATAATAAAATAAACCTAAATAATATAAAATGTTCAAAATGATTTTCAAAAACTATGTAACTTACTGGCATAGAAAAGATAAAAATCAATTCTGAAATAAGATATGTAGAAATATTTTTAGCCTAACTAATCTTAGATATTCTAATATTTTATCTGGCAAAATTACAATGCAGATGTCCAACAGATGTTAATTTCCTTACATACACAATTAACAATATTAAAATTATAAAAAATTTCATTTTCTGCCATTATAGAATGTAATACTCCTTTTCAAATATTTCTTTGCTAAATTATAAAACATTTACTATACTTAACAGAGAACTCAGATTCAAATAATGAAGTAAAACATTTCTTCAAACAACTTCTAATTCTTCATGTTCAATTCTCTGTATACTCAAGTGTATGCTAATCTGTAGTCTGGTTATCTTTATTTTATTTATTATTATTATAATTTTTAAAGTAAAAATAAAAATTACTTTTAACTGGTTAGATGAAATATTTAGATGGTTGATCAACCAACTAAACTGGCTTGGGGAGGACACTAATATATAACCATTCAATTGCTTTTGTTAGACATTCAAACGTACTGAAGATGAGGAACTGTAACTTCAAAGATTTTTTCTTTGTAATAAATTTTTAAACTTATGTTATTGTAAACTGTACAATTTCTTTTAATTTTTATAATTTTTCTTCCAAATATTAGCAGTAAATTTTTAGATTACATTTAACTGAACTTAATAAAAAGAAATAATAATTATCTATATAAACAGGTAAAAATTAATTCAAGAATATCATCTTAATTACAACAAATCTTGCAATAACAATTTTACAAGGTATGTTGCTATTGTACAAGATGAGATTTTATAAAATAATATTTAATCTTGTATTATATTGTTGATTTTGAATATTTAAATGATTTTAATTCAGGAAATATTTTAATACATATTTATCAAGTAAAAATTAATTCTTTTGTATGCTAAATTATCCTTTAATGTAAGTTTCTCTACAAGAACACTGGAAAAAAGTTTGTGAAATAGCTTTTGTTTCAAGTTTATATAGCTATTAGACATTACAAATTTATAAGTGCTTACAGTTATATTAACTAATTCTAAAAAGTTTATTCTAAATGGAAAATATTTATACAAAAATAACAGTGCAACTCATGAATTAATGAAAAATATTATAATAATTAAAATATTACTTTCAATGAATTATAAAAGTATATTTTCCATTAATTCTTGATTAATCTGTTTAGATTTAACTTTTTTTTTTTTTTTAGATTAAGAATTTTGCTCACAATTTCAATTATAAAATTTTATGAATTTAACTAATAATAATTGACATTATGACATCAAATTAAAAATTTATTTTATTAATTTAATTTGCTGGTCAACAGAAGTGTTTTGTAGAATATATCAATTGCTAAATCATCATTAAAACTCTAATGACAAACACAACATAATATATCATAATATGTTCTGATATAATTGAATATATATATAAAGTATATATTTTTTCACAGTTTAAGTGAAGTCAAGTGATATTCTAATTAAGCTGCACTGTATTTTTGAAAAGAATTAAATTTAATAATTGAAAACATTAGATACAAAAACTTTTTCTTTCTTAACCAATACTTCATACCTCCTGGAGTCTGTGTGTCAACTGACGAATCGTTGTTTCGTATGAATCTTCTTTTTGCAGTGCCTAAATAGTGATAATAAAATTTTTAGAAAATATATTGTATCTCACCTCTTTTAGTTTGGCAGTCACGGATCTGATTTGTGTTTCAAAGCCTTCTTCCCTTTGATGAGCCTGAATAGATAAAGAGCAGAGCCAACCCAATTAGGTAGGCAAAGAAGAAAAAGTAAAGGAAAAAAAGCATGGATTTAAAAGAACAAAAAGAAAATTCTTAAAATATGAAAATGAATGCATTGGCAAAGAGATCATTTGTCTAAAACAAAAGACAAGTAAACAAACAGAAATAAGGCAAAATCTGCAATATTACTAAAACAAAATTTAACTATGTTAAAAATGTGATCTCAAATTATAGCCAAATGCTTTAAAATTAACAAAACAGAAACCTTCCATGCATTTAAGGTAAAGCCTTTCCTTCTAGGAACTTATTAAAGAATTATGAAAGCAAAGGTGTGAAATAAAGGAAAGGAATATGACTGCCAAATTAACTTAATAAATAATTCATGCATATTTTATAAATCATAATATACAGTCAATTCCCATTTAGTCATGATGATAAATCACTAGAGAATAGCTTTAATCAAAAATTTACACTTTAAAATCTGTTTTTAAGCTTAAAACAAATGTTTTGTTAAATTTCAAATACCAAATCAACTTTTAACTGTAGCCAAGAAAGTAATAATTAAAGATAACTGTAAATTATGGGAATCAGCTATATATCAATTTTATTATAATTAATTTTCCTTATAGCAATTTCTAATTAACAATTAATAATTATTCTGCTATATATAAATAATACAAATTGTTCATAGTTAAATCATATTAGAACTATATTAATTTAGTCAATTAAATTTCAAAATATTCAAAAATACTACATAATAAATGTTGGGTTAAAATCAAAACCCCAACCACATTTCATTTTCTAAAAATGATAGCAATTCAGACTTGTATGCTTTGCAAATCTTGTAATGTTGCTAATAAATATTAAAAATTTATGCAAATAAAAAAATTCATGCTCAAAATTTTAGCAAAATAATAAAAGACAAAATTACATTGCAAAAAAGCATGCAAAAATACAAAATGCAAATTTATGGACAAATTTTTATACTTCTCCATATTTATATATAAATAATTTCCTTTACCTTTTCTTCACTCACTTCCAAGGATTTCAAATTATTGCCAACTACACGAAGTTCCTCTTCAAGCTCTACAATTTTGCTACAGTAAAAATAATTTACTTATTTATTCAATAATAAATTTTAATACTGGCTAATGAAAAATAATGAAGTTTTATGAAATTCTCAATAATTTTTGAATTATTAACTATGAAAGTACAGTAGGACAAAGCAATCATGCAAAACTTATTTTACAGAAATGTGATGTAATATTTTTAAGAAAGATTAAATTATAAAAAGAACTACTACAAAAGAAATGATTAAAACACACATTGATGATTATATTTTATACCTGAAGCAATATTAAACTGAATAATAATTTAATGTGCATTTTATGTAAGTGAAAAAATCTTAAATCTAAACTATAGGCTTTTTGAGCTACATTTACACTAATTTTTTAATTAATGAAATGAAATTTGGCCTATATGTANTCTACAGGAACACTGGAAAAAAGTTTGTGAAATAGCTTTTGTTTCAAGTTTATATAGCTATTAAACATTACAAATTTATAAGTGCTTACAGTTATATTAACTAATTCTAAAAAGTTTATTCTAAATGGAAAATATTTATACAAAAATAACAGTGCAACTCATGAATTAATGAAAAATATTATAATAATTAAAATATTACTTTCAATGAATTATAAAAGTATATTTTCCATTAATTCTTGATTAATCTGTTTAGATTTAACTTTTTTTTTTTTTTTAGATTAAGAATTTTGCTCACAATTTCAATTATAAAATTTTATGAATTTAACTAATAATAATTGACATTATGACATCAAATTAAAAATTTATTTTATTAATTTAATTTGCTGGTCAACAGAAGTGTTTTGTAGAATATATCAATTGCTAAATCATCATTAAAACTCTAATGACAAACACAACATAATATATCATAATATGTTCTGATATAATTGAATATATATATAAAGTATATATTTTTTCACAGTTTAAGTGAAGTCAAGTGATATTCTAATTAAGCTGCACTGTATTTTTGAAAAGAATTAAATTTAATAATTGAAAACATTAGATACAAAAACTTTTTCTTTCTTAACCAATACTTCATACCTCCTGGAGTCTGTGTGTCAACTGACGAATCGTTGTTTCGTATGAATCTTCTTTTTGCAGTGCCTAAATAGTGATAATAAAATTTTTAGAAAATATATTGTATCTCACCTCTTTTAGTTTGGCAGTCACGGATCTGATTTGTGTTTCAAAGCCTTCTTCCCTTTGATGAGCCTGAATAGATAAAGAGCAGAGCCAACCCAATTAGGTAGGCAAAGAAGAAAAAGTAAAGAAAAAAAAGCATGGATTTAAAAGAACAAAAAGAAAATTCTTAAAATATGAAAATGAATGCATTGGCAAAGAGATCATTTGTCTAAAACAAAAGACAAGTAAACAAACAGAAATAAGGCAAAATCTGCAATATTACTAAAACAAAATTTAACTATGTTAAAAATGTGATCTCAAATTATAGCCAAATGCTTTAAAATTAACAAAATTTATAAAAACAAGTTATACTGATTTTTTTATGGGCAATTTGTCAAATACTGCCTACTTTTGTGATTGTTTTTTCATATAAACATTTAACAGTTCAAAGCTGTTTTCTAATATTTTTTATATTTTTTTCTTTAAACTAAACCAACAATGGAAGACAACTTTCTCACTGAATAAACATATTTTGATTGCTATATATATAATATAATATAATATATTATATAGGGTTGTCCATTTTAATCAATCCGCTGGAAGAACTCAAAAAATACACATCCTATGAAAAAGTTGTTAAACCAAAAATGTTAGACTTGAAAGGAGCCACATGATGGTCTATCAGTTTCATCATAGATGGTGCTACAATTGGTGAAAATGAGATCAACTTTATTTTCTTACAGAGAACCCTCATTTTTTACTGCATATTATGATTCTATACCAAAAACAAACTTTTATCTAAAACACTTTTTTGGAAAGGTATACTTATCAGAAGTTAAAAGTGTTTAAAGTTCTACACAGTTGCCACACTATACATGGGTGAATCTTTTGGTATTTGTGAAGTTCAGTGGAAAAAAAGGCTTTAGAAAAATCATTAGTAAACTATCATCTGGTGGAATCATTCCTTTTCTCAATTAATGAACTTATAGTGCCATTGTGTGTTGAAGCCATCAAGCTTGTGATAAAGAGAAGACGTTGATCATGATTCCACCAAATAATAATAGTTTCCTAATGATTTTTTAAAGTCCTTCTCTTCCTTTTTTTGTAATATGTGCATTTTTAAATTATTCCAGTGGATTGATTAAAATGAACCACCCTGTACATATGTATATCAACAACTTAAAAGAAAATAGTAATATAGAAAAGGTTACTTTGATGAGAACATGATATGATCCCTTGTTTTATAATTCTAAATGTAAGCTGTTATTATTTATATATTATTAATCTCACCTCTCTCCAGCAGCAGCTCTCTCTTCTGCACGTTCTAAATCAGCTTCCAGCATTGCAATTCTGCGTGCCATCTATTATTCATCATATCCACATGCACATGCATAAGCGGGTATCGGGTATTGTTGAAGGTTAGAAGGAAAGAAAAGCAACAAATATGTTAGTATAAACATGTCTACAAATATCTATGTAAACAACACACAACTATAATTAATTTAACGTGCCTACTAAGGGAGAGAGTGAATTGTCTTATACATTTTGATTTTGATGTGTTATACACATTTGTTAGCAATTAGAAACTGTTAAACATTGCAGGTAAGCATAATTCTTTTTATGCTTAACAATAAATTTTTGTTATCTGACATCAATTGGCCAGAAACTTACGATTCCCCAGTTTCTGCACGCTCTTCAGCACGTTCCAGATCGGCCTCAACCATGGCCAACTTGCGAGCCACCTATATAAAAGTCAATACCGTTACAGCCCAGAAATCTGCTTTGCAATGAAGAATATCTTACCTCGCACTTTACTGAATGACCATTATTTTTCTTTACACTGACTTAAAAAAAATTATTTTTGTCAAAATAATTTTTTTAAGTCAGTTGTCCAATACATATCTCAATCAAACATTACAATTAATACATATTTTTGTTTTAATCAGAAATTTTATTAAAGAATTATAATAAAGGACTTATTTTAATTCTTTTTTAAAAATATGCATAAAGTGTCAGGTAAATTTAATTAATATATAATATTGAAAAGATTAAAATATAATTATTTTAACACAAGACTTATTTTAATATTTAGTAATTATAGTTAAACAAGTTATGTTAATTTTAAAACTTCATGCAAGCAAATATCAGGACTATAAACGACATTGCTACACAAAACACCCCCCATTCATGAGAAACAAACATATAAACATTTTTATTTACAAAACGATTTATAAACAACCAGAATGGAGTATAATATAACATTAAGTTTAGTAGTGTGACTAATAACACTTATTCAGAAATAAGCTTTCCAAAAAGAATTTGTTTGTTATTTAAGATTATTGTTGGAAAATTTGAATATGTCTCAAAATTCATACTATAGCTATAAAAACAGTTTATTATATTTTACACAATTATTTTACGTTTAATTCATTGGTTACACATAGTATATTTCTAAAATTTATATAAGTTTCTACATTCTGCTGAATCCAAGACTGTTGTTCACTTTGTGAAATAAATCAAAAAAAATTGTATAATTCATAATATCAGCACAGACTGCCAAACTCACAAAACAGGCTAATTTTAAATTGCTTATTTTTGAATTGGTATCAGCAAATCATTGCTAATCTCAAACTGAGCATTCCCTGATCATATATAAACAATATATGATCAGGGACATATATATAAACAATATATGTAACATATATAAACAAACTTATGTGATATAACAAGTAATCATATTTCAATAAAAATATGATAAATTCATGTCACTGAGATGTGTAACTAAGACCATTCTGGTTATTTACTGATTATTGTATAATCTAATTTATACTAAAAAATTAATCTGTTAATTTAAAATCATTCATTATTATTGAAAAGCTAATATCTAAATGTTAAATATAATTTTAATTTTAAAACAGGATTTTTAGGTTAGAATGATTTCTTTAACATCATATATATATTTGTTACAACTGCCTTACAAATTTTATATCATTGCAGCTGTGTTACAATAGCAGTAATATTAATCTACATATTTAAAGTTAAAAAAAAAAAAAAAAAGCCAAAATAACAACTTTATATAATGATAATTATATATTCTCTAAAAATTAAATTTTTCACTTAAAATTTAATTATGTAAATATTGATGCAGTTTAGTGAAATTTTTTTAATTCACAATAATTTTCCAAATATAATCTTTGATAAAAGTTTTTAAATTGTGCTTCCAAATAATTACTTAAACATAAATTCATAAATTCAAAGTAATGAATTTAGAAAATAGCAATAGTCTTTAAAAAAGATAAATAGTTGGCTACTGTTAATAATGGTAATGAATTATTTAGATAAATTTCTGAATTTTCTGTATTAACTGCAATTACAGGTTTCCTTTATTATGATTTTATTAAGCTATATTAAATTATATTTAAATAACATTTAAATTGTTAACATTAAATTTAAATTGGAATATCAATAATACATTATTGTCATACATTGTATTACATATATTATTAATGATATTTTATATTGATTTTAAAGGATTGTATTTATTTAACATTCAAAAATATATATTAATAGAAAAAATGTAATCATCACAGCAATAGCTATCAATAATTAGATTTTACTTAAATATTAATCCTTGCTGCTGCTTATAAATGCTTATATTGCAATAAAGAAATTGGCAGTAAATATAAACAACATCTCTTTTGTTTAAGGATTCCAATATTAATGAATGGTAATTAATACATCATTAAGCTTTAACTCTCTTCTATTCATGAAGCACAGAACTTAGGACTTTTTTCATATTGAAGTATGAACTACTTATAAAATATATAATCCAAAAATGTAGTAAGTTTAAAAATTTTTATATTATGTAGTGCAATATCAGTAATCCAAATACTTCATCTGTTCAATTTTCTCTGCTATATATCCATAAAAAGTAATTGAAAAAATATCCTGATCATAAAATTAGTGAATGAATCATCACATTTTTAACTATACATAAATATTTGAACTGATAACAAGTTTTTCTATTAATGACTGTGTAGGTAGGTAGTAGTTGGTCCTTTTAACATTCAAAGAGAATATTTTTATTCCATTGAGTAGGCTAGAGTTTCCAGAGTAGTTTTTTTAAAATTTATTTAAAATACATATTCTAATAGAATTTAATAATTCAACAGCAGACTGGCATAGTTAATCCTATCTTCTTGATACAGTTTAACTTGGCTTTGTTGTAGAGTTCAGTTAACTGATCAATAATTGAACAGTATTTCAGTAAAATATAATTATTTAATTTAAAATATGGATGAAAAGTAAATGTGACATTAAAATGTAAAATTATCACACATTATCCCTTATCTTTATAAACTTGACAAGAAAAAGATAGACTTATCCAAAGTCTCACTGTCTGAACTAATAGTTTACTTAAATTAATAATATATTTTCAAATCTAAAACTTTATTTTAGATTACCATCATGTTAAAAACTTAAAATAGTTTAAATTTATTTATCACAGAAAATCTTTTGGAATTAATCTGAGATAATATATGAAAGAAGCATTTCTTTCATGTATTTTTTTGCAAATTTAATTCCAAAAGATTTTCCATGATAAATAAATTTAAACTGTTACAAAGAGGTTATATCTATCCTTAAATATTCATATGCTATGTTGAATTTCCATATTCCTTATCAGCAAACTACAAGTCAAAGTTTATTGTTACATCACTGTAACTATCAAACTAAAAGCTGATAACGTTATCAATATATTGTGTTTATATATATATATATATTTTTTTTTTTTCTCTATGTCAATTTAAAAGAAATGATTATTGTCTGAATAGGGAATTACTTCAACAACTAAAAGTGAAACCAAATAATAAATTAAGTGTATAAACTCTAAAAACATTTAACTTAGTAATACTTATATAATTTTTACCAGTAAAATGATTTAGCAACATTTTATTAATTCCATTCCTTAAGATGTTGTCATCTCTTATAAATAAATTTGAAATAAATCTATAGTAGAATCTATAATAAATAATATAATATATCTATAATAGAAATACTGTTTCAAAACTGTTATAAAGTTATATATTGAAAAGATCCATTATACAATTTAAATTTAAACTGGATATGTACTAAATTATTATAAATAAAGAAAACATTAGTTATAAATATCTATGAAATAAATCTAATTTTTATACAATAATTGAAAAACTTCAGTTAGTTTCAAAACTCTTTCTATAGTTATGTGATAAAATCCATGCATTAGTTTCATGGGTTTATTAAATTATCTTTGGAAAAATATGTTATATAAACTAAATCATGCATGATGAGGTACATTAATTTGACAAATGTGGTTAGGTGAGTTCAATATCAGACATGTAAAAAGTTTTATTATTCTGGGCAATGTCCTATCACCTCATCATATTTTCTGTCTGCATCTTCAGCCATTGTTCTTGCTTCTTTCAACTGAAATTCCAATCCATTCATTCTTTCTTCATCTGTAATACTCCTGTGCTCAAGCATCTTGCGCATTCTAAGTAAGGAAATAATCATGCTAACTTTCTTCACGATCTATTTTTTTAACTTGAACCCACAATAAAGTATTTGATATTGGATAAAGCTTAAATTATTTGAAATAATAATACATCATAGATAAAAAAAATATTAACCATTTCAAATAAATGATGATAAACAATTTCTAAATCAAAATCACATTTCAATTCACTTTCTATTCAAGGAAATATCTTAAAAACTAGACAATGTTTTTATCAAGGATATTTAATAACTACATAGCATTTACCTTGCTTTTACTTACCTCTTCATATTTTTTATCAGATTCTTCAGCAATCAACCTAGCTTGACCTAGTTGAGTTTCTAATAATGCTATCCGGTCATCTTCCATATTAGTACGGTTTTCCAAGGCTTTTCTGATGCTACAGAAATCATAGAGCAACAAAAACATGCAGACATGCAAATTGCACAAGTTATAATACTACAAGATTATTATAAATATTTTAAAGCATAAAAAATTTTCTATGGTTTATTGTTAGTAGCAGGTTTACTTCTGCTTAAAACTAAAACTTATTCTTTCAACAAGCTTTAAACACTACTTCAGAAAGGAATAATTCTTTTACTTTCCATTAACTTAATGTTTTTACTGTATATTATTAAATTACACTTTTCTAGAAATATGAGAACATTAATTTTGACATAATGGATATTTAAAATAGATAATTAGACATGATTCCCAATTATATAACATATAATGAATATAAAGGTCATTTGCAAACATTTTCATTCATAACGAAATTATAAAAACCTGTTCTTCTAAGACAGAATATATAAAAGATCAAGATTTTCAAACAAAATTGGAAGTTTAACAACAGTGAGATCAAATAATATAATGATTCCTTATATATAATTATATATAATAAATGATTCATCCTTTATATAAACTTTTAATACACCATCAATGGTTTATTACAGCAAATAATAAAACATAATGAAAACACTTCAGGTTAAATAAATCAATTTTATAATTCATTAAATATTAAACAACTGAATTAGAATTATAAATTTTCTACAAAAAACAAGAATTCAATTAACAGTATGAAAATGAAAATTTGTATATAAATTTCATAGAAATATCTTATATGTAATATTTTTAACAATCTTAGTTAACATTTACAGTATTCGTGCTTTTTTCTTTTCTTTGAATGCTATAAGAGGGAAACCTCTATATAACTTAGAGATTTATATTTAAAATTTTATCCACTAGAAACTCTCTCTCTCTCTAATGCAATTTTTCTAATGTCTTAGATTCTAACTGAAACATTTCAAAATATCTCTAATATTTTTCTTAATTCATTTTCTGGATTTATTTCACAAATTTAACCAATCTTTCAGGCAAAGTAAATGACCTCTAGTTCTAGTAATCTTGTTATGAAATAGAATAATATTAACTCACTTTTCTATACAGTTACTTCCTGTTCTTTATCATTTATAACTGGTCAGAAAGCATTCTTCAAAAAGTTTTTTATATACAGTTTCCTTGTCTGTCTGAAAGTTTTCTTTGAAAAATTCTTAAGTAATTGCATGATTTTATGATGGGCAAATAGATGATGAATCTTATCTGAATTATGACACTAATCAGAAAGTCCGTTTAGGCTAGATGTGAGAGAGTGTTAAACCTCTACATCTCATGAGCAATGGTTGATTCTATGCATACATTTTAACTTAATATTTGGACCTACTTTTTTATGCTCTAAATTATAAAATTTTGCAGAACTTCTGTGCTAAAAACAGTTTTTTCACTGAATTTTATGCAATTCAGTATTCTCTACAAATTATTTTATTATATTATTATTATTATTATTATTATTGTTGCTATGAATAAATTAGTATTATAATATTAATTTATAAATCCTAAGCGATTTCTCAGACAATATAATTTTGCATTTGCTCATAAAATTACATCATTTTGTTTCATTTGCAACTTTAATTTAGAGTATGAGAATTTGTAAATAAATATTATACAATCCACAGCTATTTATATTATTATAGACATAATGCATAGTAAATGAATATTGCCCACTTTTTCTAACAGAGACAGCCATGGTACTCAAAACTGATTCATTTTATAGAATTTTTTTAAACTTTCAGCTCCAAAAAATCTTGATCTATTCTGAAACCAAACTAAAATAACTATCAATTTATTCCTAGATACAAATTAAAACAAATCAAGATTCATAACTAGTCCTCTTCTTCATTTATGTATTTAAACTTTGTTCATGTTTTACATATCAATACTACAGGTTAGTTAAGTAATTTAAAAAATTATGTTAATTATTTTCTATTCCATAACTGTTCACAATTTGCTTCAAATTTTAAAATTTCATACTCTCATTGTGGTTACAGTAATTTTTGAAAGAATACATTTTTCTTAATATTTCTCTCACTTTTTACATCTATTGTTTTAGGAAGAAACATCTATATGATACTAATCAGTTTATTTTCTTATTTTGTCTGCAATATTTATTTGTATATCTTTATACATACAGTAAAATATATTTACAGTATATATAATATGTACTGTATGATGTTTAATATTTTCTTATAAATATTTTGCATATGCTTTTATTTTATTTATTTATTTACAAACATTAAAAATTTTAAATAATGATGATAATCTGATTATCAATAATTAATGAATGGAATGATGACAAATTATAGATAAAATAATTGAATGAATAACAGCATTTGAGTATATACTATTTTAAGCTACAATAAAGCATTAATGGCATTCAGTTTCACCTGAATCTAGAACTTTACTTTCTTCATCAAAAATATTAAGAATACTGTCAGATATCAAAATTTCTCTCTTAATCTAAAATGAACAAATTATTAAACCAAGTTATTGTACTTTTCTTGTTCAGTGCTATATAGAACATAGAATATTGTAGAGATTACCATTAAACTTAAAAAATATATTTTCAAATACAAATGACAATTTTGTGAAAACCATCCAGAGAAAATTGACATTATAAACATTAAACTATATAATGTGGAAGAACTGCTGTAATGTAAATATAAAGTAAACAAAAATATTAAGCAAGAAATAAAATATGCTTGCTCAAACAACTGGAGTTACATATCATTTTGGTAATAAGATTTTATTATGAAAACATGATTAATAAGTTATGATTTCCAGTATTTATTGTGTAAAGAGAGCTAGAAGAATTTTTTATATTCGATGCCATTTGTCATTTTTATTTGCAAATATCTACAGGTATAAAGTGACAGTATCATTCTTCCTAGATAGCTGAAACTGGAATTATACAACCTTCACAAAATTACTTTATTTAAATTACAGAGAACAAATTTTCTACATTGCACTACAATTTATTTTTGGTCCTTCTCTGAAAAAGGAAAATCTAATTAGGACCATTTGATATTTATTGTTTTCACTGTTTATAAAAAAAAGGAAAAACATTCTAATTTCTAAAAAATCTGAGTAAATATGACTATATTATTATTATTTTTTTTTTTTATTGTTGTTGCTGTCATTATATATGTTATTTTAATGCAAGGTTTTTGTTCTAAAATGTTCAAATGATTTATTACACAAATTACATTATGTACAAAATAATGATTTTTAGATTTCATCATTATAATAGTTTAGAATTTCATTTCACGTGAAATTATTAATTAGGAATTTTTTCATTGCTAATATTTTTAGTATTTATATATTAATCTGAAACATTTGATTTAAATGTAATTTTTGAAATGACTTTATATACTAACTCTGATTTTTTTTAATGTGTAGTTTAGATGTAATAACTATAATAATATTTCACGCAAAATATAACCTAATAATGAAATGATTCATTCAAAATGTAGGGCATGCATAATAATTACAGTTATAATCCACATTACACTATACTTTCATCAGATTATATTTTAAAAATAATCAAAAATTATAATTTATATTTTGAAAATATGATTTTATCATTTTTTCCAATTGTTCTCACATAGTTACAATTTTATAATTTTCAGAAAATGAAAAGTAAAAGAAATGAATATTAGTTTACATTTTATATTATTAATTGGGTCAATCATTAACAGTCAATCATAATCAATAAGTAAATTAATTAATTACAGGGAAAAATCATGCTAATTCTACTTATAAAATCCATTACTTATAATATTTACAGAAGCAGAAATACATAAATTCAGAAATAATTACAGTTGCATAAAAATTGAAGTTAGTAGATCAAACAATGATCTATTAACCTATAAATTTAGATCAAGGATATTATTTGTAATCATAGAGAAAGTAATTCCTAAATGATTTTTAAGATCTAAAAAAACACTACTTAAAGAATTGATAATCAAATAAATAAATTAATTAAAAAAAAGTTTTGTAAAATCCTACCTAAGAGTTATGAGGAAACTGACATTTAGAAATAGTTAAGGACAAATTTTTTTAATTAAAAATAATTTATTCTTAAAGGACAAATCCTAAATTTTCAATACCATACACTTGATTTTTGTTGTTGCAATCTAAATTCACTAAAAGTAGTGCAGAACTTATTCTTTTCACTAAATTATTTGAATTAGCCTAATAAATTTTTTCAATCAAAATTTTGTTTAGAAAATCCTTATTGATAAATTAATAAAATTGCAAAAAAGTTATGTATTGAACAGGAAAATGCTTTGAATAAATTATATAGCGTAAAGACATTTTTATTCTGTTAAATTAACAAAATAAAAAAAATTCTCAAAATATATTTTTAAAATTAATTTTTTTAATTTTCAGCAAAAATGATAACATTTAGTATATTGAAATTACTAAATATCAATTTGTGTAATAATTATAAAACATTTTCTTAAATATATAATTTCCAATAACTTAAAAGACCATGAACAAATTTCCAGTTACTATGCAGTTAAAGTTAATATTTGGTTAAATAAAAACTATAAATAAATAATATAATGTAGATAATATTTGAGAAAGTAATTTTTCATATTATAAAATATTAAAGAATAATTTATACAATTTAAAAATAAATTCCAATGTTTGATAAAAGTTAAGTTTAGAATAAATAAATTTCAAAATAAAACTTTAATTTTCAGAATAAAAAAATGAAAAGATTATAAAAACATAATATTAAATAAATAAATGCCAGTAATATGTGATAACTAAAAATAAATTAAGCTATAAATCAAACAGTAAATATTTTTAATAAAATTGACAATTATTGTTTGTGCTTAAATATTAATTAATATGTCCATAAATTCTTGCATAGAAATATTTATAAAACTGAGTTCAAACAACTAAAAATACTCCAAACAATACCATTATCATCTTCATAGATAAAAATATAAAACATCAAATAACCCAATTCTTGATTAATACCAAATAATCTGACAG